AGTAGTATGATTTAGGCGGTTCTAGTCCACACTAGCCCCTAGCCCCTAGCCCATGCGAGTCAATGCCGTGCGCTGCCATTCCCCCTCCATGCCATGCCATGCCATGCCTTTCTCCAGCACGTGACCTACTATCGCAAACGTGTCCTACACCCCCCCCCCCCCCACCATTAATGTCTATCCCTAAAAATTAAATTAATTCAAATAATTTAATTTAATATTATACTAGTATTTAAAACAATATAATATTATTGTTCTAACAACCTAGTTAGTTGTTTAATAAGACATGAACACAGTTTGTAATAAGTTAGCGACTTATAATAATAAACATAAAATTATTAATGATTTCCCAATACCATACATCTAAGACATTATTATAGGAGGTGTTGGTTAACGTTTCACATTCATATGCGATATATATATTATTATATTATTATAGAGTTCAAACACATACTACTCCCTACTCCCTACTACCTAGTCTATGAGAGTCAATACCGTGCGCGACCATACACATCATGTTATACCATACCCTGCCCCTCCCATCAATACCTAGTGCATACCTCCCCATACCCCTTCCCCCCATCAATGTCAAACATATACCACACCATCCATAGGTTAGGTTATAGAGTACTAGTCCCTAATCAGCCTAGTCCATCCGCGCACCAACTATCCCGACCATACTTCACTACAATCAATGTCTAGTTTATACCACTGAATTAGTAAATTAAATAATACTGTCGCGTATGCTTATTATATATTATATTATTTATGTTAACGCACTTTAATGAGTACCTATTGTCGTTATCAATTTATTATTATTATTATTATTAATGGTAATTGTCACTCGATCGGTATCTCCTCTCCGCACTGCTGTTAGTCGGACGTGAGCACTGTGTCGAGCATAATATATTAATATCGTGTAAAATTAAAGAAAATATTTACAGTCCACTAAAAATAAAGGCGTTAAATTTATTAACCAGCGTAACATTGGTCCATCGGCCGGATCGCAAGAGTGTCGTGTATTATCTCTTGTCGATTTCAATCGGGTTAACGTGTCAGTGAAATTCAAAAAGAAGTTCGTATGGAAAGTTCACATCGTGGGATGAACTAACGAATAAAAATCAAGGTAAGAGAGTCATTCCTATCGTATAAAAAGTTATCAATTATCATAGTTCCCTTATTCCTTAAACTACAAAATAGACACGTATTCAAGGGTTAGGTAGAGTTAGCAATTCGTAGTTAGTAAAATTAATTATTTATAAATAATAAAAACTAACAGAGTCCGTCCATAGCAGATAGTTACAAAGTACAACTCGTAGCAACAATCATATAGATTATATAATTATTGGATATTCCATTATGCAATAGTTTAAATAGGGCGACACATTGAATGGTTGGCAATTATATCTATATACAAGAGCATTAAATATGGTTGAAAACATACCAGCATTGATAGCGCGAAGAGGCCAATTAAGGGCAGCGATAACTAGATTCTCAACTTATATACAGTCAGAAGGACGAGAAGTCGTACAGATTGAGATTCGTAAAGCAAAAATAGAAGAGAACTGGTACGAATTTGAAAAGGTACAATCGGCAATAGAAGACAACGATGAAGAAATTCGAAATACAAATGAGCATTATCCCTACCGAATAGAATTTGAAAACTTGTACTTCAAGATCATGTCAGAAGCCGAGATATGTATAAGAGCATCAAAAAAGGAAAATTCGAAGGTCGAAACAAAAAATTTAATCGATTGGGGTCATAGCAGCGAAGAAAAAACACAAAGAAACAGTACTAAATCAATAGTCAGATTGGCTCCATTGAATATTCCCGTTTTTTCAGGAAAATATGACGAATGGATGTCATTTAAGGATATTTATACGTCTGTAATACATACTAACGAGGACTTGACAGCCATAGAAAAGTTTTTCTATTTAAGGTCATCTCTGTCTAACGACGCAGCAAGTTGTATAAAATATTTGGAAACTACCGCAACAAATTATGATACAGCTTGGAAAAGTCTGATCAATCGATACGACAACAAAAAAATTTTGATACAGACGCACGTAAAAAATATTGTAGATTTGCCTTCAATAAACGAGAGCAACTCTACAAAATTACGTCAATTTTCTGACGATCTCGTCAGCAATATGAAAGCTCTAGAAACGCTTGGACAGAAGCCGAAAGAGTGGGGCCCGCTGTTGTTGCATATACTGTGTTCAAAATTAAACAACGAGACGTTAAAAGAGTGGGAGATTAAATCGGTTAAGGACAAAATACCGTCTGTTACGGAATTAATCCAGTTCATAGAGGATCGATTCCAAATATCCGAATCCATTGAATCGTCGAAATATATAAATACAGAGTCTGCAGTAAAGGAAAAAGGTCTTACAAAGTTTAGTAAAAATAATAAATACAAAGCCGCAACAAGTTCAACGGCATTTACATCGACAGCTACGGCTGTATGCTATGCGTGCAATCAGCCGCACACCATTTATAAATGTCCCGTATTTACTGCTTTATCGACACGTGATCGTATTGACAAGGTAGTCCAACTAGAGCTGTGCAAAATTTGTTTACGCAAACACAGCGGTAGTAAATGTTTTGGTAAATATTGTTTTAAATGTAATAAACCACATAATACGATGTTACATTTAAACCAAAAACCTAGTATCAACGAACAGGTAGTAAACACAGATAAAGGTGAACAGACGGCGACGACGTCATCAACGACAGCACATGTCGCTAATGAGACCGATAACGTGTTGCTAGGTACCGCGGTAGTAGAAGTATTCGGCTTAAACGGCGAAAAGACTTACGCCCGGGCATTGCTCGATTCGGGGTCTACTAATCATTTCATTTGTTCGGAGTTGGTAAACAGTTTAAAATTAAATAAACATAAGACAAATCATATTGTTTACGGAATTGGGAGTTCAAAACAGAACGTGACGTCAACGGTATCGTTAAGAATCAAATCGCGCGTGAGTGATTATGAAATAAACACGCAATTATTAATTGTTCCAAAAATCACGGGAGATTTACCCGCGCGAAGGGTGTCCAAAAGTAAAGTTAAACTCGAAAAGATTACACTTGCGGATCCGTCATATAACGTTCCTCAAAAAATTGACATATTAATTGGAGCACGTCATTTTTATGATATTGTGGGAGCTCAGCAGTATAAACCGGATGCAAATGGCCCTGTATATCGCGAGTCTAAATTTGGATATATTATTTCTGGTTTAACATCAAACGACACAAACATAAAAAAGACGATTTCCTGTTATGCCTCAAACAGTCACGAAAATATTCATGAAAACAAATATGAGTCTTTAGAAAATGTAATACAACAGTTTTGGCGCATCGAGGATTACGGCCAAAGCAAACCTTACACGATGGAAGAACAAACTTGTGAACAACATTTCAAGCAAAATGTTAGTCGCAGCGAGAGCGGTCGATTTGTTGTACATCTGCCGTTCCGCGGAAACGTCTCAAAATTAGGCAAGTCTTACGACATCGCAAAAAGAAGATTATTCGCAATAGAAAGGCGGTTTATAAAAAATCCCTCGCTGAAAGGGGATTACGTAAAGTTTATGGCCGAATATGAAAAATTAAACCATATGACACAGAATATGGATAACGAAGAAATCGAATTGCCCGGTCGTATGTGCTATCTAGCTCACCATTGCGTCCAAAATGAAAACAGTCTCACAACAAAATTACGCGTAGTATTTGATGCCTCAACAAAAACAGAAAGTGGGTTTAGTTTAAACGACGTACTGCAAAAGGGACCGTCAATACAAGAGGAATTAATTCACATATTAGCCAGATTTCGCACGCATAATTTTGTGGTAACTGCCGATATAAAAAAAATGTACCGACAGATACAGGTCTGTAAGAAACATCGTGATTATCAACGTATATTGTGGAGAGAGAACGTTAATGACCCTATAAAGATATATCGATTAAACACTGTCACCTATGGGACAGTACCTGCTTCTTATCTCGCGACGGCTTGTTTACAAAGATTATCGGAAATCGGACAAGGTCAATATCCAACAGTAGCACCATTAATTGCACGGGATTTTTATATGGACGATTTTATCAGCGGTGCAGCTACAAAGGAAGACGCAATCGAGATACGCAATGCACTTATAAAATTAATGTCTACAGCTAAATTAGAGCTAGGTAAATGGGCGTCTAACGATTCGGATATAATTCGAGATAGTTTCGACAACAATGTCGGCTTAGTGGATTTTCAAGAGACCAGTAATGATGTAACTAGAATACTTGGTCTATATTGGGACTCTCACACCGACGAACTTAAATATAAGATTAACGAAACTTCGTTAGTAACGCCTCTTACTAAACGCAATATATTGTCCGATATTGCACGTATATACGACCCACTCGGATTAATTGGTCCGGTAATAGTATGTGCAAAATTAATCATGCAAGAGTTATGGAAAGAGGGTTTATCTTGGTCAGAACCGGTTTCGGAAAGGATAAGCAGTGAGTGGTATAAATACAAATCCGAATTATCGCATCTAAATGCAATTAAAATTCCGCGTCAAATTACGATAAACGATGAAATACACTATATACAAATACACGGTTTTGCGGACGCAAGTATTAAGGCATATGGATGTTGTTTGTATTTACGTTGTACGGACATGAATAACAAACATACGGTTCGATTAATTTGCGCAAAGTCAAAGGTAGCACCACTAAAAATATTATCGCTACCGCGATTAGAATTGTGTGCCGCTTTATTGCTAGCAAAGGTAGCAAATAAGATCGTACCAAGGTTGAAATTGTCAATCAGTAAAACATATTACTGGACCGATTCCAGCGTCACATGGTGTTGGATCACGTCAACGTCGAAAAAATGGAAAACCTTCGTCGCACACAGAGTTGGTCAAATTCAAGAGATCACGTCTCCCTCAAACTGGTTTCACATTAGCGGTGTCGATAATCCGGCGGACGTGATTTCACGCGGTTGTTGTCCCACCCAATTAGCGAGTTTATCAGTTTGGTGGAACGGGCCAAGTTGGTTGTCACGACACGAAAACGAGTGGCCTGATACGGTGAACCACTCATTAGATTGTAACGAGGAGAGCGCAGAAATAAAAATAAATGCGATAAGCGCTCTATGCACTACGGCAAGTGATATAAATATCATAAATCGTTATTCGTCTTTTGGTAAATTGTGAAGAGTCGTAGCATATTGTTTACGATTTAAAACTAATTGCTCACGTAAAATAAACAAAACAGGCGATCGGTGCCGACGAATCGGTAATTTAAGTGCTGATGAAATAAAAATAGCAAAAACGTCATTAATTAAAGTTGTTCAAAGAGATGAGTTCGCCAATGAGATAAAATCTATGCTTAACGGAGAGGCAATATCAAGTAAGAGTAAGTTATTTCGTCTGCGACCGTTCTTGGATAAGAATAATATAATATGCGTGGGTGGACGATTAAAACATGCAGCATCAATTTCAATTTTCCAGCGTAACCCTATAGTGTTACCATCAAATAGTAATTTCACGAAATTGTTGTTATGTAACGAGCACGTAACACTAATGCACGGAGGTCCACAAGCCATGTTATCGTCGGTACGCATGAACTACTGGCCAATTAACGGCCGAAATTTAGCACGAAATATAGTAAACAAATGCGTTATTTGTTTTAAACAAAAACCTATTATAATGCAACCGATAATGGGTGATCTGCCTAAACATCGAGTATCTCCGGGCCGCGCGTTTCTAAGATGTGGAGTGGACTTCGCCGGGCCCTTTATGGTTAAAACTAGTACTCGAAGAAATGCCCCGAAAGTGAAGTCTTATGTAAGTGTTTTTATTTGTCTAGCTACGCGAGCTATACATCTCGAGCTCGTCAGTGACCTGAGCACCGACGCCTTTATCCGCGCATTAAATAGATTTTTTGACCGTCGGGGAAAAAGCATTGTAATCTACTCAGATAATGCAACGAATTTCGTCGGGGCCAACCGGAAATTAAAGGAATGGTACCAATTATTTCATAGTGACGAAAATAAAAAAAGGACTATGGATACGTTATCGGATTTAGGCATTGATTGGAAATTCATACCCGCCCGGTCACCTCACTTCGGGGGTCTATGGGAAGCAGGTGTAAAATCTATGAAATCCTTATTATCCAAAGTCTTGGGTGATTCGTACTTTACTTACGAGGAGTTGCTAACTATTATAACCCGAGCAGAGGCGTGTCTAAATAGTCGTCCTTTAACCCTTATGTCCTCCGATCCTAGTGATATGTCCCATTTAACTCCCGGGCATTTCCTCATCGGTGACTCTCTCTCCGCCATACCAGAAATTGATGACACGAACGTACCAACAAGTTATCTATCTCGTTGGCGACGCGTGTCACAATATTCGGATATTCTATGGAGAAGGTGGAGTAAAGAGTACCTGTCCCAGCTTCAGGAACGGTCAAAGTGGGCAAGCGAAAGGGGTGTAAAACTGAAGGAAGATTCCATCGTTATCATGCGCGAGGAAAACCTTCCACCAATGAAATGGCGTTTAGGTCGGATTATCAACGTCATACCAGGGCAGGACGGTGTCATACGTGTGGCTGACGTTAAAACGTCGAATGGAACATTTCGTAGAGCCATCAGGCAATTATGTCCATTACCATTTGTGGGTAATTGTAATTTGTAAAAAAAATATATTTTTTTTGTTTATTTGGTTTGTATAATATGCCTATTAGGTGTGATTAAAATTTGTTTATATGTTGATTGTATAATTTGAATTATTATTTGAAATGTTATTTCAAGGCGGGCGGCTTGTCGCGTATGCTTATTATATATTATATTATTTATGTTAACGCACTTTAATGAGTACCTATTGTCGTTATCAATTTATTATTATTATTATTATTAATGGTAATTGTCACTCGATCGGTATCTCCTCTCCGCACTGCTGTTAGTCGGACGTGAGCACTGTGTCGAGCATAATATATTAATATCGTGTAAAATTAAAGAAAATATTTACAGTCCACTAAAAATAAAGGCGTTAAATTTATTAACCAGCGTAACAAATACACTACTATCTAAAGGATGTAATTGATATTTTATTAGGAAAGAATAACTTTATATATATATATATATATATATATCATATTCATATAAACACTATACTATCTTATGCGAATACCTATAGTACAAGCCACACCATACTCCCATCAATATCCATCACTAAAAATATATGTATTATATAATTCTTAACATAATGATAACTATATAGTTATCAAAGACATTATTATATGAGGTATGTTGGTTAAAATTTGACATACATATATGATATATGTATATTATATTATTATAGTTTTAAAATATAGAATAATAACAATATTATAAACATGATGAATTATTAACTATTAGTCTGTTTAGCAAGAACATTCTTATTTCTTAATTTAGCGAATCGTTTAATTATATAGGTACCTACATTGATATACATCTGTAACCACATAAATAATATACCAACATAATAATTAATATAGTATTAATCAATTATAAATAAATAATATACTAATACACCTCCATTTACCTACACCTAAAAAATTGTACTTCAAACTACTATACCAATATATTATACATTCATACCTACCTTAGTTATCCAGGACATTATTAAAGGAGGTATGTTGGTTAACATTTCATATACATATATGACATATGTATATTATTATCGTTTGAAAATATAGAATAGCAACAATATAACACTAACATGATAAATTATTAACTAATAGTCTTTTTAGCAAGAACTTTCTTACTTTCATTAAATATATCTTAGCATGGTAATTACTATATAGTTATCCAATACATCATTATAGGTAGTATGTTGGGGTATCATTACACATTATGCATAACCATACACATCATACCATACCATACCCTCCTCCCATCCACGTCTATCACTAAAAATATATAAATTATATAATTCTTAACATGATGACAATTAAGTATAATGTAGTCATTAAAGACATTATTATAGTAAGTATGTTGGTTAACGTTTCACACACATATGTGAGATATATATATATACATAATATATATTTATAGAACGAAAATATAGAATAACAACTATACAAACATAATAAATGATTGAGTAATAGTTTGTTCAGCAAGATCTTTCTTATTTCTTAATTTAGCGAATCGCTAAAATAAACATTAAGCATGTATATAAAACTCTCAATACTTAACACTAATATATGAACATAATTTAGATATATAACTGTTATATTTAGAAAGTCGGTATGGGTAAGACCTCGTCAGTAGCTATTATTTTAATACTTTAAATGTATCCCAAAATGATTGAAAATATTATGTGAAACAATCATTTAACATAGTAAATTACTAAATAATATTTTAGTAATCTATGGCTTAAAATGTTACCACCACTAAAATATATTACAAATTGATTCATATCATACCATACCCCTCCCCTCCCAATAATACCTAGTGTATACCACCCTATACCCCTCCATCCCATCAATATCTAACATATACCACATCATAACCCTCCATACGTTAGGTTATAAAGTACTAGCCTCTAATCAGCATAGTCCATCCACACACCTACTATCGCATACGTGTGTGACCATATACATCATACTACACCATATTTCACTACAATCAATGTCTAGTACATACCACTGAATTAGTATATTAAATAATACACTACTATCTAAAGTATGTAATTGATATTATATTAGGAAAAAATAAAATATATATCATATTCATATAAACACTATACCTATTATACTATACTATCTTATAAATACCTAGTACATACCACACTATACCCCCCACCCCACAATGTCTATCACTAAAAATATATATTATATAATTTTCAACATAATGATAGGTAACTATATAGTTATCTAAGATATTATTATATGAAGTATGTTGGTTTGACATTACACATACATATATGATATATGATATATGTATATTATATTATTATAGTTTTAAAATATAGAATAATAAAAATATTATAAACATGATAAATGATTAACTAGTAGTCTGTTTAGCAAGTACATTCTTATCTCTTAATTTAGCGAATCGTTAAAATATATATCCATACATTTATATTATATAATATATTAATAATATGTATACCATATAAATAAGTGATTATTGACGATACCTCATCATCTTTAATCGATGTGAAATATGCAAGTCTATGTATATAACTTATATTTAATAAATATTAATACTATAGCGATTTTTTAACAAAAAAAAATGTTATACCTCCAGAGAGAATCGAACTCCCGACCCCTAGTTTACAAGACCAGTGCTCTAACCACTGAACTATGGAGGCTATATATCTAAAACTAAGTAAATTGCTACCTCCATCACTCACACCTTAAGAATTTTACTTCAAACTACTATACTGATATATCATACCTCCAAACATACCTACATTGGTAACCATATAAATAATATAATATTAATCAATATAAATAAATAATATGCTAATATACATCCATTTACCTACACCTGAAAAATTATACTTCAAACTACTATAGTAGTATACCACACATACATTGATAGTTATATAAATAGTATACGTAATAAATAATATACTATTAATCAATTATAAATAAATTATATGCTAATATACCTCCATTTACGTACACCTGAAAAATTATACTTCAAACTACTGGACAAATATATCATTCCTCCAAACATACATACATTTGTAACCATATAAATAATATACCAACACAATTATTAATATAGTATTAATCAATTATAAATAAATAATATACTAATATACTTCCATTACCCATACCTTGAAAACTATACTTCAAACTTCTATACCAATATATCATACATACCTTCAAGCATACATTGATAGGTACATAAGTAATATACTAATGTACCTACATTTACCCACACCGGAAAAATTATACTTCAAACTAGTATAAATGAATCCACAATCAACCAATTAATATTTATCTTAATACGATTGATGTGGATGTGAATCGAATGTTTTCATCTCCGATAAAAAAAAGTTGTATACCTAATGGAGATATTCCAGATCCGAGTTGTCAAACATCAAATGCACTAACGATCTATAATCGATAGAATATTTTAATAAATTCATGTTTAAAGTGTAGCGTATAAATAATTGTATTAAAACGTAAATGTTGTAGTGGATGTGAATAATACAATCAAAGCCAGTGTAGTACTCTATGTAAAGTATTATTAATAATAATACGTATAAATTAAAATCATAGAGCTTATACTTAATCTATTAGATAAAATATATATTTAATGTGATTGAGGGATATGTTTAATAGTTTTACACTGTGTAAATACTAAGGAGTATTTCAAATAAAATATTTTTTACTATATAGATGGAATATAATATATAAATATAATTAAAACAATTTAATTAATTAAATGATACATATCATAAATCGTATATAAACTAAACATAAAAATATATGAATTAATTAATTAATAATAGATTATATTTTGATACAATTATTTATTAACTTAACAATATTAGACATTTATTACCGATATATCGTGTAAATATTAAGGAGTATTTCAAATAAAATATTTTTACTATATACATGTGATATAATATATAAATATAATTAAAACAATTTAATCGATTAAACGATACATATCATAAATCGTATATAAACTAAACATAAAAATATATGAATTAATTAATTAATTAATAATAGATTATATGTTGATACAATTATTTATTAACTTAACAATATTAGACATTTATTACCGATATATCGTGTAAATATTAAGGAGTATTTCAAATAAAATATTTTTACTATATACATGTGATATAATATATAAATATAATTAAAACAATTTAATCGATTAAACGATACATATCATAAATCGTATATAAACTAAACATAAAAATATATGAATTAATTAATTAATTAATTAATAATAGATTATATTTTGAGGCAATTATTTATTATAAACTCATATGTAGCATAGTTAATTAATGGGTATATTTCTAAAAATTTAATATATTCAAATGGATAGCGTGGGTGGGTGAAGGAGCAATTATTACATGAATAACCCCACCGCTTATTTGAATATACAAGTGAATCGGCTAACGTGATAGCCCGTTTAACATCTAGTAATATCCGAGTATCGTGAATAAATCGATAATCAGTTAATATCGAAGAGGTAGGGTCTAACTTTAAATTTATTTCCTTATTAATTTCTTCACAATAGATATCGCGATAAATCCAACTTTTATCAGGAGTGTTATGAGTATGTATATGCATTTTTTCATACACACTTCGATTCGTTGACATACCACTCCTGATATAGTATAAGGGGTAATTATTATATTGATATACTTCCATACACTTAGACATTAAATAGTTTACAATTACACGATTATAGATTTTTATATCAAATATTATAGAGTTACTTATTATATCCCGACTCTCTGACGATGAATTCATGATTTTCCTACACGTTGAAATGTCTGGAGTGGTGTCACCCATCAATTCTTCTAACTATAAAAGTAGTTATAAACCATTAATTTGGGGTAGAATTATCTCCTATCATAAAACAAAATAAAATAAAATAAAAAATAAAAATAAAAATAAAAATAAAAATACATACCATTTTCTCTCTCACTCTGTATAAGTTCGATATACAGATATGTCTGTCAGATAATTGAACGCAGCTCTTCAAATGAAGTCCTATATATCTTAATGTGATATATATATTAACTATTCTGCTAGTAGTAAGGCTCGTGATGTGATCTCTATCGAGTCTAGAACATTTATCGAATAATATTTTATTTATTTAATTATTCCCCCTTACTCAGTGATAATAGTGGTAATAGTACATAGATATGCATTAAACATTTTCATGTTCGATAATATAATGTCATTAAGATTTCACATCAGCTACAACTGTCATTAACATGTTATTAGTAATACCTCGGATGACCATGCTCGATGGAGGTGACGAAAACGATGGTAATAATGTTATTGTTTTTCTTAATCTAATGGATGGAAAGTAGTGTATTCAATTGTATGCAATTAATGTAATTGATAATGTTATAGCTAAAATGTGTAAAAACATAGCATATTATACTATTAACACTTCGAGTGTAATGATCAGGGTAATAGCTTTCTCGATGATGGTGAGGACGAAATGATATAGGTGATAATGTTCTCATTATATAACTAATCGTGGAAATCGGTGGCTACATCTAATCGGCGGAAAGCGACATATCTCATACTCATACTCATATTCATATTATATACGTATGAGAGGTAATTGAAGATATTGCAATTGATTTAATACAACGTATATTATATAACTTATTCTCACTAACGATCTCATTTCAATGAAAAATTATATGTACGATATTGTATATACATGCATTTGCAATGCTATTCTTTTAATCACTATAACATAATCCTATTAACACTATGATGATATCAACCATGTGACTATTGTTATTCTTCTAACGAGGGAAAGTCGGACAGTTTTTAACGACAGAAAGTGTCATAGGCCTACCACCCATCTCATATACAAGTGCAGTTTGTCTTTGAAGTAGGGTATTTTGAATCGCTTAAATACAGTCGGTAGCGAAACATTTAGTATCAGTCGTTCAACATTCACCATACAATTGAGAAGAATCTTCGAATACGAGAAACAACAATACAACTTCAACGATCACGATAGTCGAAAACCGATTGAAATCAAATAAGACATATTACATCAAATCACCTGCAACTCATTAACTTGAGTAAGTATTTATTAGATATTCATATATGTATTACATATAATTTTAAGTGAGTATTATATTCCCCATGTATTTTCATAATATGTATTAAAATAAAATAAAATAAAAAAAAATTATTTTAACACGTTTCTATTTGTTAACAAATGAAAAATAATCATAATTGAATTTACTAATAAATTTTCGTTCAGTGTATACTCTACTTATAATGATTTATAATTAATTTACAGCATGGACGCTTTAAAACAATCATTGACAGCGCAGACGGATATTCAATTCATCTCCGTAGGAGACCTCACGGTAGACAGAACGTATCCAATAATGAAAATGGTCAATCGGGACACACAGTATGGACGAGCGATCGTATGCACACTTGAGGATATTGCGGGGAGTCTTTTCCAAGTCTATCTACCCAAGTCCATCCAACTCGAGGACGATGAAATCTTAGAGTTCAACAGTAGAACTGAGAAAACCATAAATCTCGTATTCAAAGGACGGCGGGGGAGGGCATTCAATATCGCATTCGTGTAGAAAATAAATACATGTATAATAATTAGATTGATGTATGTTTATATGTTTATATGTTTATGAAATAAAAATGTAATATTAATACTTAAAATATTTTCTATTTTATTATTATTATTTTCTAATAAGCGTAACCCTCCTAATTCACCTACACCTTCATTTAATATAACGAATACATATGATTATAGCTAATAGGTATTTAATCACATACAATTTCCATACAGATATAATATCTAGTGATATACAATATACATACCTATACATATATATATATATATATATATACAAATTAGGTAGGAAGGGTCACATCCATTGTACAATCATGATGATTACTGTATCGATTTGAGCCGGAGTGTAATGAGGGGAAAACGGTTCTCAACTACATAGCTCGGCACTGTTCGAAACAGCTCTACACCGTGTCGTACCGCGCCATGCCTTCCCGTGCCATGCCACGCCATGCTATACCATGCTATGTCATGTCACGCCGTGCAGCGCTGATACCGCCCTCGCCAACCTGGCATGGCGTGGCATGGCACGGGAAGGCATGGCGCGGTACGACACGGTGTAGAGCTGTTTCGAACAGTGCCGAGCTATGTAGTTGAGAACCGTTTTCCCCTCATTACACTCCGGCTCAAATCGATACAGTAATCATCATGATTGTACAATGGATGTGACCCTTCCTACCTAATTTGTATATATATATATATATATATGTATAGGTATGTATATTGTATATCACTAGATATTATATCTGTATGGAAATTGTATGTGATTAAATACCTATTAGCTATAATCATATGTATTCGTTATATTAAATGAAGGTGTAGGTGAATTAGGAGGGTTACGCTTATTAGAAAATAATAATAATAAAATAGAAAATATTTTAAGTATTAATATTACATTTTTATTTCATAAACATATAAACATATAAACATACATCAATCTAATTATTATACATGTATTTATTTTCTACACGAATGCGATATTGAATGCCCTCCCCCGCCGTCCTTTGAATACGAGATTTATGGTTTTCTCAGTTCTACTGTTGAACTCTAAGATTTCATCGTCCTCGAGTTGGATGGACTTGGGTAGATAGACTTGGAAAAGACTCCCCGCAATATCCTCAAGTGTGCATACGATCGCTCGTCCATACTGTGTGTCCCGATTGACCATTTTCATTATTGGATACGTTCTGTCTACCGTGAGGTCTCCTACGGAGATGAATTGAATATCCGTCTGCGCTGTCAATGATTGTTTTAAAGCGTCCATGCTGTAAATTAATTATAAATCATTATAAGTAGAGTATACACTGAACGAAAATTTATTAGTAAATTCAATTATGATTATTTTTCATTTGTTAACAAATAGAAACGTGTTAAAATAATTTTTTTTTATTTTATTTTATTTTAATACATATTATGAAAATACATGGGGAATATAATACTCACTTAAAATTATATGTAATACATATATGAATATCTAATAAATACTTACTCAAGTTAATGAGTTGCAGGTGATTTGATGTAATATGTCTTATTTGATTTCAATCGGTTTTCGACTATCGTGATCGTTGAAGTTGTATTGTTGTTTCTCGTATTCGAAGATTCTTCTCAATTGTATGGTGAATGTTGAACGACTGATACTAAATGTTTCGCTACCGACTGTATTTAAGCGATTCAAAATACCCTACTTCAAAGACAAACTGCACTTGTATATGAGATGGGTGGTAGGCCTATGACACTTTCTGTCGTTAAAAACTGTCCGACTTTCCCTCGTTAGAAGAATAACAATAGTCACATGGTTGATATCATCATAGTGTTAATAGGATTATGTTATAGTGATTAAAAGAATAGCATTGCAAATGCATGTATATACAATATCGTACATATAATTTTTCATTGAAATGAGATCGTTAGTGAGAATAAGTTATATAATATACGTTGTATTAAATCAATTGCAATATCTTCAATTACCTCTCATACGTATATAATATGAATATGAGTATGAGTATGAGATATGTCGCTTTCCGCCGATTAGATGTAGCCACCGATTTCCACGATTAGTTATATAATGAGAACATTATCACCTATATCATTTCGTCCTCACCATCATCGAGAAAGCTATTACCCTGATCATTACACTCGAAGTGTTAATAGTATAATATGCTATGTTTTTACACATTTTAGCTATAACATTATCAATTACATTAATTGCATACAATTGAATACACTACTTTCCATCCATTAGATTAAGAAAAACAATAACATTATTACCATCGTTTTCGTCACCTCCATCGAGCATGGTCATCCGAGGTATTACTAATAACATGTTAATGACAGTTGTAGCTGATGTGAAATCTTAATGACATTATATTATCGAACATGAAAATGTTTAATGCATATCTATGTACTATTACCACTATTATCACTGAGTAAGGGGGAATAATTAAATAAATAAAATATTATTCGATAAATGTTCTAGACTCGATAGAGATCACATCACGAGCCTTACTACTAGCAGAATAGTTAATATATATATCACATTAAGATATATAGGACTTCATTTGAAGAGCTGCGTTCAATTATCTGACAGACATATCTGTATATCGAACTTATACAGAGTGAGAGAGAAAATGGTATGTATTTTTATTTTTATTTTTATTTTTATTTTTTATTTTATTTTATTTTGTTTTATGATAGGAGATAATTCTACCCCAAATTAATGGTTTATAACTACTTTTATAGTTAGAAGAATTGATGGGTGACACCACTCCAGACATTTCAACGTGTAGGAAAATCATGAATTCATCGTCAGAGAGTCGGGATATAATAAGTAACTCTATAATATTTGATATAAAAATCTATAATCGTGTAATTGTAAACTATTTAATGTCTAAGTGTATGGAAGTATATCAATATAATAATTACCCCTTATACTATATCAGGAGTGGTATGTCAACGAATCGAAGTGTGTATGAAAAAATGCATATACATACTCATAACACTCCTGATAAAAGTTGGATTTATCGCGATATCTATTGTGAAGAAATTAATAAGGAAATAAATTTAAAGTTAGACCCTACCTCTTCGATATTAACTGATTATCGATTTATTCACGATACTCGGATATTACTAGATGTTAAACGGGCTATCACGTTAGCCGATTCACTTGTATATTCAAATAAGCGGTGGGGTTATTCATGTAATAATTGCTCCTTCACCCACCCACGCTATCCATTTGAATATATTAAATTTTTAGAAATATACCCATTAATTAACTATGCTACATATGAGTTTATAATAAATAATTGCCTCAAAATATAATCTATTATTAATTAATTAATTAATTAATTCATATATTTTTATGTTTAGTTTATATACGATTTATGATATGTATCGTTTAATCGATTAAATTGTTTTAATTATATTTATATATTATATCACATGTATATAGTAAAAATATTTTATTTGAAATACTCCTTAATATTTACACGATATATCGGTAATAAATGTCTAATATTGTTAAGTTAATAAATAATTGTATCAACATATAATCTATTATTAATTAATTAATTAATTCATATATTTTTATGTTTAGTTTATATACGATTTATGATATGTATCGTTTAATCGATTAAATTGTTTTAATTATATTTATATATTATATCACATGTATATAGTAAAAATATTTTATTTGAAATACTCCTTAATATTTACACGATATATCGGTAATAAATGTCTAATATTGTTAAGTTAATAAATAATTGTATCAAAATATAATCTATTATTAATTAATTAATTCATATATTTTTATGTTTAGTTTATATACGATTTATGATATGTATCATTTAATTAATTAAATTGTTTTAATTATATTTATATATTATATTCCATCTATATAGTAAAAAATATTTTATTTGAAATACTCCTTAGTATTTACACAGTGTAAAACTATTAAACATATCCCTCAATCACATTAAATATATATTTTATCTAATAGATTAAGTATAAGCTCTATGATTTTAATTTATACGTATTATTATTAATAATACTTTACATAGAGTACTACACTGGCTTTGATTGTATTATTCACATCCACTACAACATTTACGTTTTAATACAATTATTTATACGCTACACTTTAAACATGAATTTATTAAAATATTCTATCGATTATAGATCGTTAGTGCATTTGATGTTTGACAACTCGGATCTGGAATATCTCCATTAGGTATACAACTTTTTTTTATCGGAGATGAAAACATTCGATTCACATCCACATCAATCGTATTAAGATAAATATTAATTGGTTGATTGTGGATTCATTTATACTAGTTTGAAGTATAATTTTTCCGGTGTGGGTAAATGTAGGTACATTAGTATATTACTTATGTACCTATCAATGTATGCTTGAAGGTATGTATGATATATTGGTATAGAAGTTTGAAGTATAGTTTTCAAGGTATGGGTAATGGAAGTATATTAGTCTATATTTATTTATAATTGATTAATACTATATTAATAATTGTGTTGGTATATTATTTATATGGTTACAAATGTATGTATGTTTGGAGGAATTGATATATTTGTCCAGTAGTTTGAAGTATATGTTTCAGGTGTACGTAAATGGAGGTATATTAGCATATAATTATATTTATACTTGATTAATAGTATATTATTTATTACGTATACTATTTATATAACTATCAATGTATGTGTGGTATACTACTATAGTAGTTTGAAGTATAATTTTTCAGGTGTAGGTAAATGGATGTATATTAGCATATTATTTATTTATATTGATTAATATTATATTATTTATATGGTTACCAATGTAGGTATGTTTGGAGGTATGATATATCAGCTATAGTAGTTTGAGTAAAATTCTTAAGGTGTGAGTGATGGAGGTAGCAATTTACTTAGTTTTAGATATATAGCCTCCATAGTTCAGTGGTTAGAGCACTGGTCTTGTAAACTAGGGGTCGGGAGTTCGATTCTCTCTGGAGGTATAAAATTTTTTTTGTTAAAAAATCGCTATAGTATTAATATTTATTAAATATAAGTTATATACATAGACTTGCATATTTCACATCGATTAAAGATGATGAGGTATCGTCAATAATCACTTATTTATATGGTATACATATTATTAATATATTATATAATATAAATGTATGGATATATATTTTAACGATTCGCTAAATTAAGAGATAAGAATGTACTTGCTAAACAGACTACTAGTTAATCATTTATCATGTTTATAATATTTTTATTATTCTATATTTTAAAACTATAATAATATAATATACATATATCATATATCATATATGTATGTGTAATGTCAAACCAACATACTTCATATAATAATATCTTAGATAACTATATAGTTACCTATCATTATGTTGAAAATTATATAATATATATTTTTAGTGATAGACATTGTGGGGTGGGGGGTATAGTGTGGTATGTACTAGGTATTTATAAGATAGTATAGTATAATAGGTATAGTGTTTATATGAATATGATATATATTTTATTTTTTCCTAATATAATATCAATTACATACTTTAGATAGTAGTGTATTATTTAATATACTAATTCAGTGGTATGTACTAGACATTGATTGTAGTGAAATATGGTGTAGTATGATGTATATGGTCACACACGTATGCGATAGTAGGTGTGTGGATGGACTATGCTGATTAGAGACTAGTACTTTATAACCTAACGTATGGAGGGTTATGATGTGGTATATGTTAGATATTGATGGGATGGAGGGGTATAGGGTGGTATACACTAGGTATTATTGGGAGGGGAGGGGTATGGTATGATATGAATCAATTTGTAATATATTTTAGTGGTGGTAACATTTTAAGCCATAGATTACTAAAATATTATTTAGTAATTTACTATGTTAAATGATTGTTTCACATAATATTTTCAATCATTTTGGGATACATTTAAAGTATTAAAATAATAGCTACTGACGAGGTCTTACCCATACCGACTTTCTAAATATAACAGTTATATATCTAAATTATGTTCATATATTAGTGTTAAGTATTGAGAGTTTTATATACATGCTTAATGTTTATTTTAGCGATTCGCTAAATTAAGAAATAAGAAAGATCTTGCTGAACAAACTATTACTCAATCATTTATTATGTTTGTATAGTTGTTATTCTATATTTTCGTTCTATAAATATATATTATGTATATATATATATCTCACATATGTGTGTGAAACGTTAACCAACATACTTACTATAA